CCATGGCCCACCTCCTCCCATGGCCCACCTCCTCCCATGGCCCACCTGAGAGGGCTAGGAATTCCCTAGTTTTAACAGCCGCGCGTTTGACTTAAAAAAGATTAATTATGTGAGTTAATGCACCATGCCTGACAAGAGAGACTTGATTAGAGAGGGATGATGGTTCTGAGAATTTATTCCTGGGCGTTTGCTTCAAACAGCCTTAAATGGTCTCTTTAGTCAAATGTCGAGTTATCAGAACTCTATAATGGCTCTAGAGTAGAATAGTATTAGAAACTGACATGGCACACAGAATTCCTGAAGTGCTAACTGCTGTTCATGTGTCTGGTCTTAGGCGTTCTTCCAGTCCTACACACTCCCAATGGGCTCAACAGGTAGTTCCTCAACTGGGCAAAGATTCCCAAATCTTTTAAAAGCACACTTTGGTTACTCTGCATAGAATCCCCACCCTGTCTCTGTTTACATGCTACCTCTTCAGGAAAGCGTTTTTTATCTCCCACAGACAGACGTGGAGACCTCTCACTCTTTGAGCTACTCGCTATAAGGAAATATGCTTTGATATTTTATGATTTTCTTTGTATATTTCCCCACTGAGCTATAAGTTTCTTGACGCTAGAACTAGATTTTACATACCCAACACTTAATATCGACCACAGTATAAAAGAACAAATTTATTTTGGAATGAATGTGAAAAGCTATTTTCTTAGCGGATTAACCTTCTATGGCTGGTTAAGTCAGCATAAGGCTTTCAGTTTTTCTTACGAGGAAAAGTGACTTTTTTTCACTTCCCTTAGAGAGGCTGAAAAATGTCACATTTAATTAAGCAAAGTATTTCTCACCTAAAAGCCCTTTGATGCGTCAAGCCCTTAAACAGGTCTCTAGGGGCGGGGCGCAGTGGCTCACGCCTGTAATCCCAGCACTTTGGGAGGCCGAGGCGGGTGGATCACGAGGTCAAGAGATCAAGACTATCCTGGTCAACATGGTGAACCCCCGTCTCTACTAAAAATACAAAAAATTAGCTGGGCATGGTGGCGCGTGCCTGTAATCCCAGCTACTCAGGAGGCTGAGGCAGGAGAATTGCCTGAACCCAGGAGGCGGAGGTTGCGGTGAGCGGAGATCACGCCATTGCACTCCAGCCTGGATAACAAGAGCGAAACTCCGTCTCAAAAAAAAAAAAAAAAAAAAAAGGGTCCTTAGATTACCCAGAGCAAAGTTTTTAAAAAATAAATAAACTTTTTGGTGCTAATACATTTCTTTTTTTAATTTATTTTTATTTTCTTTTTATTTTTGTATTGCATTTTAGGTTTGGGGGTACATGTGAAGAACATGCAAGATTGTTGCATAGGTACACACGTGGCAGCGTAATTTGCTGCCTTCCTCCCCTTCACCTATATCTGGCATTTCTCCCCATGATATCTCTCCCCAACTCCCCACCCGCCCCCCGCTGTCCCTTCCCTATTTCCCCCCAAAAGACCCCAGTGTGTGATGTTCCCCTCCCTGTGTCCATCTGTTCTCATTGTTCAACACCCGCCTATGAGTGAGAACATGCGGTGTTTGATTTTCTGTTCTTGTGTCAGTTTGCTGAGAATGATGGTTTCCAGGTTCATCCATGTCCCTACAAAGGACACGAACTCACCGTTTTTGATGGCTGCATAATATTTCATGGTGTATATGTGCCACATTTTCCCTGTCCAGTCTATCATTGATGGGCATTTGGGTTGGTTCCAGGTCTTTGCTATTGCAAACAGTGCTGCAATGAACATTCATGTGCATGTGTCCTTATAGTAGAACGATTTATAATCCTTTGGATATATACCCAGTAATGGGATTGCTGGGTCAAATGGAATTTCTATTTCTAGGTCCTTGAGGAATCGCCACACTGTCTTCCACATGGTTGAACTAATTTACACTCCCACCAACAGTGTAAAAGTGTTCCTATTTCTTCACATCCTCTCCAGCATCTGTTGTCTCCAGATTTTTTAATGATCGCCATTTGAACTGGCATGAGATGGCATCTCAATGTAGTTTTGATTTGCATTTCTTTAATGACAAGTGATGATGAACATTTTTTCATATGTTTGTTGGCCTCATGTATGTCTTCTTTTGTAAAGTGTCTGTTCATATCCTTTGCTCAATTTTGAATGGGCTTGTTTTTTTCTTGTAAATCTGTTTTAGTTCTTTGTAAATTCTGGATATCAGCCCTTTGTCAGATGAGTAGACTGCAAAAATTTTTTCCCATTCTGTTGGTTGCCGATTCACTCTAATGACTGTTTCTTTTGCCATGCAGAAGCCATGGAGTTTGATTAGGTCCCATTTGTTTATTTTGGCTTTTGTTGCCAGTGCTTTTGGTGTTTTGGTCATGAAGTCCTTGCCTACGCCTATGTCCTGAATGGTTTTGCCTAGATTTTCTTCTAGGGTTTTTATGGTGTTAGGTCTTATGTTTAAGTCTTTAATCCATCTGGAGTTAATTTTCGTGTAAGGTGTCAGGAAGGGGTCCAGTTTCTGCTTTCTGCACATGGCTAGCCAGTTTTCCCAACACCATTTATTAAACAAGGAATCCTTTCCCCATTGCTTGTTTTTGTCAGGTTTGTCAAAGATCAGATGGTTGTAGATATGTGGTGTTGCCTCCGAGGCCTCTGTTCTGTTCCATTGGTCTATATCTCTGTTTTGGTACCAGTACCATGCTGTTTTGATTACTGTAGTCTTGTAGTATAGTTTGAAGTCCAGTAGGGTGATGCCTCCCGCTTTGCTCTTTTTGCTTAGAATTGACTTGGCTATGTGGGCTCTCTTTTGGTTCCATATGAAGTTTAAGGTGTTTTTTTCCAGTTCTGTGAAGAAGGTTATTGGTAGCTTGATGGGGATAGCATTGAATCTGTAAATTACTTTGGGCAGTATGGCCATTTTCACAATATTGATTCTTCCTAACCATGAACATGGAATGTTTCTCCATCTGTTTGTGTCCTCTCTTTTTCGTTGAGCAGTGGCTTGTAGTTCTCCTTGAAGAGGTGCTTTACGTTCCTTGTTAGTTGTATTCCTAGGTATTTTATTCTCTTTGCAGCAATTATGAATGGCAGTTCATTCTTGATTTGGCTCTCTTTAAGTCTGTTATTGGTGTGTAGGAATGCTTGTGATTTTTGCACATTGATTTTGTATCCTGAGACTTTGCTGAAGTTGCTTATAAGTTTCAGGAGATTTTGGGCTGAGACAATGGGGTCTTCTAGATGGGGTCTTCTACAATCATGTCATCTGCAAATAGAGACAATTTGACTTCCTCCTTTCCTATTTGAATACCCTTTATTTCTTTTTCTTGCCTGATTGCTCTGGCTAGAACTTCCAGTACTATATTGAATAGGAGTGGTGAGAGAGGCCATCCTTGTCTAGTGCGATAATACATTTCTTAATTCAAGAAACAAAAAGACTGTAGATATTCACCTAGCCTAATAACCCTCATCTAAGGCTCTGGTGAGTACTCCATCATATTACCTAGAAGCCAGGATATGGTTCCAATGCTTAAGCAATGTCTTTGGGCGCTGGCAGCAAACCTGTCAATGCCACAAAGAAAATGTCAGCAATACAACCAGAATTCTATGCTCCAAATATAATAATCTATTGTACCCTTTGCTTTCCACTTCTGCCTGCTACTCTGCCACAATGACTATCAACTTGTCTTATACATCTCTACTCAACAAGCTATTTTGGAAGATATCTATGAATCAGTTGAGAACAAACTAGTGTTACAGGTCTTTTAGAATTTGTCTAAATACAAATTTTTAAGTTTCCAGTAAAGGATGGAAAGCCCCCTACCTCAAAATTTTAAAAAAAAAAAAGAAAAGAAAGAAAAAAATAATTTGAGACTGGGTGCAGTGGCTCACACCTGTAATCCTAGCACTTTCGGAGGCCGAGGCAAGTGGATCACGAGGTCAAGTGATCAAGACCATCCTGGCTAATGTGGTGACACCCCTCTCTACTAATAATACAAAAATTAGCAGGGTGTGGTGGTGCGCACCTGTAGTCCCAGCTACTTGGGAGGCTGATGCAGGAGAATCTCTTGAACCCAGGGGGCAAAGGTTGCAGTGAGCCAAGATAGTGCCACTGCACTACAGCCTGGTGGCAGAACAAGACTCTGTCTCAAAATATAATAATTTGACAAAAAAGAGAAGAAGAAACTGAAAGACAGTATTTTCCCAACCCAGCCTTGAAAAACCTCACTAACCCAATACAACAAAGAACCCTTCATAACCATGTGCCAGTTAAGATACACACTTTGGGTGCCTGACCTCCCTTTATACAGAGCTCCACCTTAGC